TGCCCCCAGCCTTCAGCTCTGGGCAGTCGGGTTGGCGTGGACTGTGAAGAAGGGCCGAAGGATGTTCTGGACAAGGACAGGTTGTGCAGACCCCCACTAGGGGGGCGCAGCACCTGGGGGAATGAGGTGGTGGATGGCGGTGGGCGTTGGGGCTACAGAAGGGGCTGCATGACGAGGACATGAGAGTTTAGGGGGCAGCGAGGGAGCCTTCCGGGTAGAAGGAGCCGTAGGCTGAGACGCAGAGCTCTGAACGGCATGGCTGACTGGGGACAGCGGGGTCTTTGCCGGGCCTGGGTTTGGTGGGTGCCATCAGCATCAAGCAGCAGAGAGACACGGCTCGGGCTGGTGGCCAGGTGACTCTGGGGCAGCTGGGCTGGGAGGGTGGCGGCACCAGGCAGTCCTGACCCTGCACCTGAGAACTGGGTCCAGTGATTCTCTTGGTGTCCCCTCTGCTCTGTAGGTGACCACCCTCCCCCACACGCTTGTGGGGAGCAGTGCTGCACCCCGGCAGCGGGTGAGGAAGAGGACCAAGGTGCTGTCTCTGGCCAAAAGGTACTGGGCCTTACCCTCCAGACCCACATCTGGCCCAGCTGCCCCACCCCCACCCCCACCCCCTGCAGGTGCTGTGGGGCTCCAGGAGGGCTGGCTGCTGCCCTCAGTACCTTGCTCTGCCTCGGGGTGGGAGCAGGGCAGAGCTGCGGTAGGGCTCGAGTCTGCCACTGTTTGCTTCAACCCCTTGGGGCTCCTAAAGATGAGCGTTTCTGCTTTGGAGGATCCTGCGTTTCAAGAAGGAGTACCCCACTCTGCAGCCCAAAGAGCCCCCGCCCTCCCTGCTGGAAGCAGATCTCACGGAGTTTGATGTCAAGAACTCTCACCTGCCCTCGGAGGTCTTGTACATGCTAAAGAATGTTAGGTAAGAGGCGCGGGCCCGTGAGGCCGCGGGAGTGAGGACTCACCTCCTCTGGTGGTTCTGCTGGGAGGCTGAGCGTGTGACCCGCTGGGCCGCGGCGCCTCTCTTCCTGAGGGCTGCCCTCCTTCCTGCCTCGCCTGGGAGAGTATCCCATGGTGCTGCTGTCCTTCCAGGGTCCTGGGCCACTTTGAGAAGCCGCTGTTTCTGGAGCTGTGCAAGCACATGGTGTTTGTGCAGCTGCGCGAGGGCGAGTACATGTTCCGGCCGGGGGAGCCGGACAACAGCGTGTATGTGGTGCAGGACGGGCGGCTGGAGGTCTGCGTCCAGGACACGGTAAGG